AGGTTCGAACACGTCTTGAGTTCGGGTTGAGATGTTCGAACCCGATTCAAGCGCTCACCACCAATTTGATTAGTTTGCATACCTAGGCTTCTCATTTTATAAAATATAATGAAAACAAAATCTAAAAAATTTATAGTTATTAGATCATTGTTGTTGAGATTTATATACATATTATAGATATTATACTTTGCCCAGGGCCTCTTATTGTTGACCGGCTCTGTATTTCAGAATCCTTATTTGGGTGCTGCTGTACCAAAAAACTGTGCTATTTGATCAAGATTCTGCCATCTGTGCACAAAAAAACTGCGTGATTTGATAAAAAAAATTCAGAAATATTTGTTCTAATTCAAAGGATTCTGGGAACTGGACCGATTTCAAGTTTCAGTATATCACAATTGGCTATAAAAAATTCAGTTGTAATGAATAGAAATATTTAGCTACTTGTCCATGCACAACCACAACACAACCTTGATAAAAAACACTCATCTATGCAAACTCATTTTTTTTAATTCAAAGAGAACAAATAACCACTCCAATATTCACAAATAACCACTCCAATATTCATAAATAACCAAACAAAAACAATATACCGAAATCCCAATACAATTCCTTGAATGCATTAGAAAAGAATCAATATAATTTGCATCAAACTTGAAATTGCCATGGCAGAGTCCTCAAATCAACCTCATCCTGGACTTTCCCACTTCTCGCCCCATAACTATTGCTATTCCCACAATCGCCCCTCCTTTCCACATAGGCATAATAATTCAAAAAGAATGCCAGCGTCAGAACCGCCCACTCCAGGCAGAAAATCACCGCGCACAGCCCGCCGGCGAGTTTCAGTATGACGACACCGTCATCCTCCTGGACGTACGACTTCAGGTGGACCAGGAAATCATACGGCCGGCTGAAGATCAGGACCGAGACGGAGCCCTGGAAGATGGCGGTGAGGACGGTGGCCACCATGTGGGCCCCGTAGAACCTGGATCCGCCGCCACGGGAGGCGGCGGCGCATCCAGAGACGGCGCCGACGATGGTGACGGCGTGGAGGAGGACGAGGAAGGCGCCGGCAAGGGAGGGGATGAGGCGGAGGGATAGGGTGAGGAAGATGCAGCTGGAGGCGGCGCCGATGAGGGCGTAGTTGGTGAGGAGAAACACCTTGTGGGTGTGGATGGCCGAGTCGCCGCCGTTATCCACCGTCAGACCCATTTCTTTTTCTGCTAATTGTTAGAATTTCTTGGAAATTCAGGTGATTTCTGAGAGAGAGAGAGAGAGAGAGAGAGAGAGAGAGAGAGAGAGAGAGAGAGAGAGAGAGAGAGAGAGAGAGGTTTTGGAGTGAGATTCGGGGGCACGGCGGAGGGAGGATATATAGCGGTGGTGGAGGGGCGATAACGGTCATTTTTGGTGGGGCCGGAGCAAAGGAGCTCAACGGATATATATTTGACAAAAGGGTACAACTTATAGTTTAGGTCCCCTTATTTGCAGATTTAATCTTAATTACAAATAGGTATATAATATAAGTACATTCTCCCAAACCTTGATACTCTGGACAATTATGACTTACCTTTGATCATTACCAATTTGTTTAAACTCAAACTAGTGAGAATCCCGTGCGATGCACGCGGTTTCCGTACTTTAGGACTTTTTTTTTAAATTTTATTTTCACAATATATTAGCATGTTGACCCGTTTATATTATTATAAATAATATTTTAACATATATATTTATTTTTTAATACAAAATAATAATAATTTTACATATTTTGGTTCATCATAATACTCAATTATTAATCTATCAAAAAATCTATTATCATATAATGTCATTATTATTTATAACACTTGTAGAAGTAATACATTTGTTATATAATGATAAATATGTAATGTATATTAATATTATTTATTGATGTAATTAATTTAAAAAGATATAAGCAAATTTAATGTTTGGTAGGAATGTGATTATATGTAAGCTGAGATAAAATGAAATGTATCACAAAAATATGCTTATGATATCTATTACTATATAATAGAAAGAAGAAAAAATGTTTGAAAAATTATTTCATTTTACCGCTCAAATCACTTTTTTCCCTCTAATATTTTGCTTGAAATTTTTTCGAAAGTTTGAATTTTTTTCATTTCGAAATTCAGTATGTTTTGGATGAGTTAAATATATTTTGGATGAGATTCCTTCCATATTGGATAAATTCAAGTTCCTTTTCATTTGGAAAACATATTTTTATTTTAGCAATATATTTGACTTCCTTTTTTTTAACCGATTATGTTGGTCTTCTGTTTAAAATTGAATTTTTTTTTTTTAATTAAAGAATGTACCAGTTTCCTAAACATGATAAAAACATATCACTTCAAATATTTTTTAAAATTGAGGATTCCAACTACTACGATTAATGTGATTAGTGCTAACTGATTTTGTTAAATAATATCTTCATTGATTCACCCCAACACGTTTGATAGGCCGGTTCATGAGTCAGTTATGATGCATAAAATCACACAATAGTGGCTATTTAATATAAAACTATTTAGAATATAACAATTCAAAAATTGAGGATTCCATATAATGTAGGCTCAAAAGCTACGAATTAATTTATTCCAAAAACTGAGGATTTCATATACTACAAATTGATTTATTCTACAAATAATTCACAATTTTACGGTTTAAATAATACAATATGTACATCATTTCCCTTAAAAATTTGATCAACCAACACGATTTTGATGATAATTTTTCAAATTGATCTATATTCCTTTTGAATATCAGAAAGATTTTTGAACAAATATTAGTTAATAAAATTTAAAATTTGTAACTTAATTTTAGAGAATTGGTTGATAAATTTGAACAATAAGGTAACCGAAAAAAAAATCTAAAAAATTGAGAGATGATATGTATAAAGAATTTATTGTGTAGTCTAAATTTGGTTTCCAAATTTAAAAGTCAAATAAGTTATTCTTAATAACTTACGGGTTAGTATTAACTTGGACGTAAATAGAATAATAAATTATTTATAGTTTAATAAATTACTCAACTACTTAATTTTTTTATTTAGATAGTTTATACAAAAATAAATTCAATTTAATTAATGAAATAATATAGTTTTATAACTGTACTTATTATTCACATTGGTTTTTAAATATTCATAACATTTTATCAAAATTATTATTTTATGGAATTACATTGTAGTTAAATTGAATTTCTGAATAAAAATTTTAAAATGACACTTATTTTGAAATTATATTGTAATTTATTATCAGTTACGTTCACCGTACGGGTTGTGTACTAATTTTAAATAGACATGTTTTTTTATAATTTTGCACAATTTAAATTTCATATAACATTTTCAATAAATTTAATATAGGTAAATTGTATTACAATTGATTTCATATTTTTAAGTTATAAATATTATTTAATGTGTATTTTTAATTTATAAATATTAATAAATATCTCCTACCCCTCCATAGAACATGATTCGTATTAGTTAAAGAAAATAGAACTAAAATAAACAAATATTTAATTATTTATATAAGAACTAGAAAAGTGTTACTATTTATATAAGAACTAGAAAGGTGTTACTATATGGTATCTAATATCCCTAATAAATATCTCCTACCCGTGCATAGCACGAGATTCGTACTAGTTTTCCTATAAATGTTTGAATGAATTTGAAATTTAAGTTACAAATCAACCTCCAGTTATTCAAATAATTTTAAAAAAGTTACCAATTATAGTAAAATGTACGTGACAATATATTATAAATATACATGACGTCAGTAATGTTATGGATCTTTAGGTTCCTAAAATATATATTGTTTAGATATGAAACTAATTAACTTATATGTTAAGATAATATATATAAATATATGCATTGTACGAAATATACACGTGACAAGTTATTATATTTGTTTGTATTGTTTATTATATTTGTATATAAATATATTGTTTATATATTTGTCTGTATTGTACGAAAAAATGTTATATTTGTTTATATATTGTTTAGATATGAAACTAATTAACCTATATGTTAAGATAACATATAAAAATATGTATTGTATGTAATCTTAAACGTGTTTGCTAAATTTTTCCCCTAAAAAATTCAAAATACATTTAGGCATGTTTTGTTTGAAGTTTGAAATTTAAATATGCATCTATATAACAAATCACATGATTTATGCTAGCATTAAATGCTACTTGTTTTTTTATTAAAAAAATTAAAAAAACATACCAAAAATGGAATGCAATTAATATTCCCTATTTTTTTGCTTACTATTTTTTAAAAATGTTAATTCTTATTATTATATATATATATATATATATATATATATAGATTTTTGTAGACTCAACATGCCAAAATAATAGGTCAAAATTAACACAACCTGAATTGACTAATGTGGTTGCTGATTATGAAATTAACAAACTAACGGTTTTGCGATATTGTTCAATAACCAATCGTAAGTTGGTTCGGTATCAGTTTTGTGATTTTGTAACTGGATATTGGACATGGCTGGAGTTATACTACGTGAACATTATAATTGTCCTACATTTTGCATGATATTAACTTAGGTTGTACCCTTATAAGAGTGGGAATGGTTGATATAGAGTTTGATCCTTGTACTTACACAGTTATTTAGGAATTTGTGGTTGATAGAGATTTGGGTCCTTGTACTTTACAGTTTAGTAAATCAGACTCCCCTTGCAGCAGCTCTCCTAAAAGTTGTTTACACACATCATGAAAGAAATATCTAGCATTGAATAAAAATTCCACACAGGACCAAGTATGAATATTTAGCCAACTGTTGGTCCAGGCAAAAATCGACATGATTATTACAAATATCATACACAAACTGTCAGACTTATTTCATGCGTATGAGTAAATACAACATAATTCGCTCAGCCATAAACACCAGGCGGTACACTTCAAACGCCCCAAACACAAATAAATGAATAAATTATACACACAACTCCCCGTGTCCCTTTTTGTACCAAGATAACATTTAGGCTTGCAAAAAACTAGCATACTTTGCCCCTGGAAATAGCCTCTGAATGTAGAGCAAGGCATTTTTGGTGACCTCTACATTCTCGTGGTTCATCAATTTCATCACTCGTTCTTTGGCTTTGAGGTCTGTAACAATGATACGACCGGCTGCATGGTACTGAATGAATTGTGAGAGGTCATAGCAGGCAACAGCAAGTGTCCGTGGGTCGGTGGACGTGTCCAAAATTGTGATGAGGACCCTAAGGATCTGCAGCAAACCGAAAATAATAAAGTTCTTGCTAAAGGATGAAAAAAGCAGTTCTAAGCACATGGACAGATTTACGATTTTTTTTTTCCAGGGTAGAGGGGGAAATGAGGACTAGACTGAAAAAGAGTTGATACGGACAAGATCATAATAAAAATAATTCTACTAGATTTATTGAAGATGATCGTTGATTTCAGTTCAATTTGGTTTGGCTCATTGGAGAGAAGTCCAATCAAGAAGAGAGGGAAACGAATAGTAAAAATTAACGACTTCTCGGAAACAGAAAACGATAAACCAACAGAAATTTTTGCTACAGTTCAGATAAGCCAACAGAAAACGATATACAAGTTCACATTGCAGTTAGTACAGTGGCAGCAGTTTGGCAGAAACACTCTTGCAGTAGATATCACAACCACATAATTATGAATGAATGTAAATGGTACCTGAAAATCATGCTCCTCGAAATTAGCGATGTTGTCTCGCCAGAATATTGGATCTTTATGCATAGGCGACCAATCAAGATGTCCAAGGAGGACTTCCTGCTTGTACTTGTCAAAAGAACTTAGCTGCTTAATGTTGTCTTTCAATCCTCTTCCAATTGATTCAGAGCTTCTAGCAGATCCTGTGAAGATGGAAGAAAATGTATGACATGGAGAAATACATGGTAAATCAGTGAAGAAAATCGGGTCATGTCCAAGCATAGATGACAGACTGCCCATAAATTGGCTAATGTAAAACCAGTATAACACATAAAGCTTATATTTAAGGCAATTGAATATTGTTACACTGAATATTGTTACACTACAGTTGCACTATAACTTGGATTTCGAATAAGCACATATATCGAGGAAAGACTTCTTCATTAATTCTTTAATCCACAATGGAATATTAGTGAGAATAGTAAAGTACGTGAACTTAGCTAAGAATTTTGTTCTTTCCAAGAGATTGATGTTGCAAACCTATGAGATGATTCTTACACAATTTGCCAAATGGAAATTGAGGCACATTAAAATGGCTTACTGGAGAAAAGTAATGTTCAGGTGCATTCTGGCCTATCTAAATGAGAAAATTCCCATAAAACATCTGTTTGGCTGTACTCCTGCTAGTATTTAGAGATGTAAATAACAATTTCATTACTGAGATTTCCGGCTTACAATTACATTTACACATTTTCAGCAAGAAACAATGGACCGATATCGAGCACCACATACAAATGTTATCTCACCTCATCACTCCATGCCTGAGCTTTTAGATTCTGAACAAGCTGCGGCAGTCCCAGGTCTACCATCTGGGCACCAAATGTCCCTTTGTGCAGCAAATTCTTGAGAGTTAAAATAACTACCCTGACAACCTACATAAGTTGATAGAAAGTAATTCTAAGATGTACATTTGGCCAAAGGAATTTTCCACAGAGGATTATTCGTATATGCAAACTGACGATAAATGCCGCTACAACTAAAATATAAATGGGTAGCAATCCAAAAAGGTGATAAAAAGTTATCTCAAACATATGAAGGGCCCTACCTTTTCCTTTGTGGATCCCTTTACAACTTCTATCAACCTCGGCAAGGATCTAGAAGTGGCCAAATACTCAACTGCAGGCTCATAGTATGAGAGGAGCCACACACAAAGGCATGTTTCATACAAGAGCTTTGGTCAGATAAAAAGTGAAAGTTAGAAGCTGTAGTGGCAAATGATCCAACACTACGAATTCAAATAACAAGGTCATTGAAACTTCACATGAATATAGGATATGATTATGACATACACTACAATCAACTCCAAGTAAAAAGATTCCATGCATGTATTTGCAGAAATAAGCAAAATATTTTTCCACCTTGACCTAGTAATCATGAACTGAGGTTACCTGGATGGATTGTTGAGTGGATGCTGGAGAAATAAGAGGAATGAGCAACTTCACTCCGTCTGTTTGAACAAATGAAGATCGAACCACATGTTCCTTCAGTAAAGTGGCAAGGCAATTAACAGCAGTGGGAATACCACGGCTAGGATGAGATGGGTTCTTTAGCTGTACAATTGAAAATGCATAAGCATGAGACCTACTCACTGGTAGAGTAACGACAAAACTGTCCAAGAGTTATTTAGTTTAGAAAGATATAATATAATATGCCCAACAACTTATCGCTGAAACTGACTTGAACAAAAGATTGCAGCCTCCTGATACAGTAATATTGTCTAAAATTAACCTCGCATCATTTGGATTCTGCTCTATTTAATAACAGACAATATAAAATGCCACTATCTGGAGAAGTGGAATCCAAATCGACTCTGCAAAATCGATTTACAAATGGAAAAATGGTTTATGTGTACATATCTTTTATTATTCTATAACTGACAGGCGGGTCACTACAACTAAATTCTAAGTGTTTTGGCAAGAGCATTTCTTATGTTTGATAGGCTTAAACATCTATGGCCTCATTACAAACACATGCATAAACAAAAACAATCCTTTGTAAGACTTTTCCTTTCCTCTGACCTCAACAAAACTAGAAGGATATAGAGAGAAGAAAATAGAACCTGTGAGCACAGCCAATCAACCAGCGCCTTTAAAACGTCATCAATCGTCGTGATATCCTTCTTTATCTTTGATGCCCCATTGGCATGGGAACCATCATGAGATCTTGGCCTTCCACTACTGCAATTAAAAGAAGTAGGAAATTAAACACACAAACAAAATCAGTCATATTCCAAAGGAATGGGAGTGATTCACACGTTACTATCAAAGAAAGTATCTTGCAGCTCTTCTCTTGGATAAACCAGTTACCTTTCCAAAGCAACCTGAAAAAGGAGTGATCATTGATCTATATAAAGTTCATGCTAGCGACCAAGAACAATAAAATATAAAATTCATCAGTAGTTTTACAATTGAAGTAGATAACTATACCAGGATTGCAGCACTAACTGCTAAGAACTATTTAGTACTTAAATGTTACGGTCATTTTGTACATCAAGCCACAAGTCTGCTTTGAATCAAGGCATTTGAATCATATGTTGCATGCATAAGAAACCTATCAGAATGGACTAAATCTGATAACCCTACTTGAACATTACTAACGATGTAATGCAACATTAGGCTAGATCATTGCCTTAGGAAAGGCTCATATGCATCCTCGCTGGAGAGAGACTTATCATGAAATAGCCTTGCTCTTTTAGGATTCGCTGCCATGCATGGAGAAAGGAAAATCAGAATATAAAGTCAGTAACTTGAAATAGTACAAGCTAAGTACAATCTACCCAACTTGTCCACTTACCTGAAAGCAGTTCATCGATCAGAGCTAAAACATACTCTACAGTTTCTTCCTTGAATATGTCACGCAATATGCTAACAAAAACACAGATGTAAGCTGGACCATCCTGTAACAATTATAAAGTGGCCAACAGTAACAGTTATTATCAAAACCTTTAACACTTTCTGTTTGATTGGTCTTTGTGTCCTATAAAAACAAATAAACAAGCTACAATGATTATCGCCTGCCATATGGAATTTGCAAGCATTACCACACTTAACATCTGCCAATCTAATTTAACTATCTATCACCATAGTCATGCCTCTGCGTGCAATAGCTGATTTTCTTCAACAATATCACAAGTTACTTGTAACTCATCGTGTGATCGAGTTGTACGTGTAGCTAACGGGGTCCACCCCCATAGATGTGAAAACCTCAAACAATTTGCAAGCGAGGCTCAACTTCCCTTTGGACAAGAAAATCGATAAATAGGTGTTCACCATGTCGATGTCGAAAGAGTCCTCGCCTTTGGCCATGACTCGAACCCCTCTTGACATTGTGAAACCCTTTACGGGACTTTGATCGCCAGACGTGAATTTATTCGCTAGCATGTCCATGTAAGGAGATGATGACCACTCGTCAATTTCAATATTACCCGGCTGCTCGAAATCTTTGATTTTGCTACCTTCTAATTTTGACAAACTCAAGAAGTCGGCAATATCGTTTGTTGAAGGGAAAATTGGCATGAGGTCCTTATCCTTACTCTGTGGGCTATTCAGCGAGCCTTCCATTGCCGATTTTCACTTGAGAATAGAAAGGACCAAATTCCCATCCCTTATATGTTTCCGCATAAGCTTCTCGGTCAAATCCCATAGACCTCGCCTGTAAAGCGCAGTTAACAACGAAGTTATCGTGACTAAATCAACCACAAAACCCCTAGCCTCCATTTCCTCCACCAATTTCAATGCTTCCTCGATCTTTCCGTCCCGGCAAACATGCAAAATCACAATACTATATGAGACACTGTCCACGAAATTATTACCTTTTTTCTTTAAATCAGAAAACAAGGTATAAGCAACCTCAGGCCTCCCGTTTTTTAACAGCCCGTCTATGAGTATGTTGTACGTCCAGCACGAGGCTCGAACCCCGTCATCATCCACCATTTTCTCAAAAAGATTGCAGGCTTCGTTCAATTTCCTTGACTTTAACAAGCCATCGAGAAGGGAGTTATAAACAACAGTCTCTGCACGTACTCCGTTATACTGCATCTCACTAAATATTTGCAGGGCGTCATTAATTCTGTAGGATTTACAACAGCCCTGAATGAGAATTCGGTAAGTGTACGAATCGGGTTCGTGACCTGACGAGCTTTTCACCTCTTCCCACACAGTGAGGGCATCTTTCACCTTACCAAGCGAGCAAAGCACGTGTATCAAGCTATTGTACGTGACAAATCCAGATCGAACGAACCACTTTTCCCCTTCATCTCCTTAAACAGACTCAATGCAATGCTCAAATCACCCCAGCATCCTAGCGTGTGGATGCATATGTTATAACCCCATCTATCAAGCGGGTACAGTTTCGTGGCACGAAGCTTACTGAAAACCTCCATGAATTCGTCTTTCATGCCTGATTTCTTCAAGCTGACGAGCAGCTCGTTACAGGCAATAGCATCGGGAATGACTAAACTGTCCCCAACAGTGGATGAATTCAGAAGCTTGAGAAAAATAGACAAAGCTAAGGAAATCTGGTTTTTTCTCACAACAGCAACTACAATTGGGCTATACGCATCAGGGCTCAAACGCCTCTTATCGATCAATTCCCTCTCGACGTAATCCAATACTTCCAAGGCAGAATCATACTTACCGGACCTGATAAATCCGTCGAGGATCAGCTTCAGAGTCGATGAATCCAGCGTTAATCCATCGCGCCTCATTGAGGCAAGCAGCTCGAGGATATCGTTGTAATGGTGGTTGGGCAAAAAGCAGATGAACCTGAACATCTGAGAGTATGTGTCCGTCGAGTGTTTGTAATTATGCCTGAGGGAACACCACCGGAAGAAATCCAGTTTCCTGGCGGGGTCGAGGGAGCCACGGTGGAGGATCTGGAGGACAAGCTCCTTGGAGAGGGGGATCGAGTCGCCATCTCTGTCTAGAGTGTGAATTCCTCCGGGCTTGGACAGGGTTTTGGCTATGGAAGCGACTAGCAAGAGGTCGCCGAGTGAGCTCGCCGGAGATTTTGCGGCAGTTGTGAACCTATATTCCGAGCAGAAAGGTACGATGAGAAAGGCGAGGGGATTATGAAGAAGGGCCATTTTTCTCCATCTTCGGCCATGGCGCATGATCGGAGAACGGTGGTGTGGCTTCTATACTAATACGGCTAGCAAGCTCATCGGAAGCCAAAAAGGAGGAATGGTAGCTGAGTTTTCGTGATACAATAATCATCACAAGCGAAGGGGATGGACAGCGGCTGTTGCCCCGACTGCCGGCGGCGCGTGAATGGATTTTCTGCTTGTGAAATATGATCTGGATTCTGGGCCAGGCCTTCTACTCGTTTGGGTTTAGCATAAACTGTCGAGTTCTAATGGGCCCATCCTTTTTGTTCCATAAAATGCCTGTTTAGATTTTAAAAAATTTGTTATATTGTTTGAGAATTAAAAAAAAATCTTAAAAAATAATGAATTATTCAATTTAGTTACCAGTTGGATTTGTTTGGATTTATTAAAACTTAATGAGATTTCAAAAACAAAATGCATAAATGAACCATAAACGTTGTGTCAAGTCAAGTAGATCTCGGCTCGACTCATTAACTAAATGATCTCAAGATTGGAACGTCTATCACACAAGTCAATTAGAGCTCGAGCTTACAAGTTGAGTCAAGCTCTAACAGTTGTAGGTACGTTGTGCCATCCAAAGTTATACAACTACATGAAAACTGTAATTACTAGAAGAAAAATGGTTTGTTGAAGGGAAAATTGGCATGAGGTCTTTATCCTTACTCTGTGGGCTCTTCAGCGAGCCTTCCATTGCCGATTTCCACTTGAGAATAGAAAGGACCAAATTCCCATCCCTTAAATGTTTCCGCATAAGCTTCTCGATCAAATCCCATAGACCTCGCCTGTAAAGAGCAGTTAACAACGAAGTTATCGTGATTAAATCAACCACAAAACCCCTAGCCTCCATTTCCTCCACCAATTTCAATGCTTCCTCGATCTTTACCTCCCGGCAAGCATGCAAAATCACAATACTATATGAGACACTGTCCACGAAATTATTACCTTTTTTCTTTAAATTAGAAAACAAGGTATAAGCAGCCTCAGGCCTCCCGTTTTTTAACAGCCCGTCTATGAGTATGTTGTACGTCCAGCACGAGGCTCGAACCCCGTCATCATCCACCATTTTATCAAAAAGATTGCAGGCTTCGTTCAATTTCCTTGACTTTAACAAGCCATCGAGAAGGGAGTTATAAACAACAGTCTCTGCACGTACTCCGTTATACTGCATCTCACTAAATATTTGCAGGGCGTCATTAATTCTGTAGGATTTACAACAGCCCTGAATGAGAATTCGATAAGTGTACGAATCGGGTTCGTGACCTGACGAGCTTTTCAGCTCTTCCCACATAGTGAGGGCATCTTTCACCTTACCAAGCGAGCAAAGCACGTGTATCAAGCTATTGCACGTGCACAAATCCGGATCGAACGAACCACTTTTCCCCTTCATCTCCTTAAACAGACTCAATGCAATGCTCAAATCACCCCAGCATCCTAGCATGTGGATGCATATGTTATAACCCCATCTATCAAGCGGGTACAGTTTCGTGGCACGAAGCTTACCGAAAACCTCCATGAATTTGTCTTTCATGCCTGATTTCTTCAAGCTGACGAGCAGCTTGTTACAGGCAATAGCATCGGGAATGACTAAACTGTCCCAACAGTGGATGAATTCAGAAGCTTGAGAAAAATAGACAAAGCTAAGGAAACCTGGTTTTTTCTCACAAGAGCAACTACAATTGGGCTATACGCATCAGGGCTCAAACGCCTCTTATCGATCAATTCCCTCTCGACGTAATCCAATACTCCCAAGGTAGAATCATACTTACCGGACTTGATAAATCCGTCAAGGATCAGCTTCAGAGTCGATGAATCCAGCGTTAATCCATCGCGCCTCATTGAGGCAAGCAGCTCGAGGATATCGTTGTAATGGTGGTTGGGCAAAAAGCAGATGGACCCGAACATCTGAGAGTATGTGCACGTCGAGTGTTTGTAATTATGCCTGAGGGAACACCACCGGAAGAAATCCAGTTTCCTGGCGGCGTCGAGGGAGCCACGGCGGAGGATCTGGAGGACAAGCTCCTCGGAGAGGGGGATCGAGTCGCCATCTTTGTCCAGAGTGTGAATTCCTCCGGGCTTGGACAGGGTTTTGGCTATGGAAGCGACTAGCAAGAGGTCGCCGAGTGAGCTCTCCGGAGATTTTGCGACAGTTGTGAACCTATATTCCGAGCAGAAAGGTACGATGAGAAAGGCGAGGGGATTATGACGAAGAGCCATTTTTCTCCATCTTCGGCCATGGCGCATGATCGGAGAACGGTGGTGTGGCTTCTATACGGCTAGCCAGCTCATCGGAAGCCAAAAAGGAGGAATGGTAGCTGAGTTTTCGCGATACAATAATTATCACAAGCGAAGGGGATGGACAGCGGCTATTGCCCCGACTGCCGGCGGCGCGTGAATGGATTTTCTGTTTGTGAAATATGATCTGGATTCTGGGCCAGGCCTTCTACTCGTTTGGGTTTAGCATAAATTGTCGAGTTCTAATGGGCCCATCCTTTTTGTTCGATAAAATGCCTGTTTAGATGTTAAAAAAATTGTTATATTGTTTGAGATTTAAAAAAAAAAATCTTAAAAAATAATAAATTATTCAATTTAGTTACCAGTTGGATTTGTTTGGATTTATTAAAACTTCAAAAACAAAATGCATAAATGAACCATAAACGTTGTGTTAAGTCAAGTAGATCTCGGCTCGACTCATTAACTAAATGATCTCAAGATTGGAACGTCTATCACACAAGTCAATTAGAGCTCAAGCTTACAAGTTGAGTCAAGCTCTAACAGTTGTAGGTACGTTGTGCCATCCAAAGTTATACAACTACATGAAAACTGTAATTACTAGAAGAAAAATGGTTGCCTTTCTAAAACTGCATTTACCCTCAAAATTTTATTCCATTTCATGAAATGCATCCTTTTGATCAAGTGTTCATTTGCAGCATCCCATCATCAAGAGTGCACACTAACAGAATTCGTACTGGAATACAACAACCTAAAACTACAATCCAACGGTTCAAATCAAAAGTAGTTTAGCATATTACATCACGCGCATTAATGGTACACATAANAAAAAAAAAAAAAAAAAATCCCGGTTTTCACTCAGGAGCAACACGTATAACCTGCTTGCCCACATTTTTACCCGAAAACAAGCCAACAAACGCAGAAGGCCCGCTCTCCAACCCTTCATTCATGTCCTCTAAGTAGGTTATCTTCCCTTGCTTGTAAAGACCCGTAACATCCTCAAGAAACCTTGAGAACAAGCGCAAGTAATCACTTTGGAGAAAGCCCTGCATTCGCACACGCTTTGATACAAGGCTGAATAAGTTTTTGATCCCTTGTGGATCGGATGTCCCGTGTTGGGAGACCATTCCACATACGGCTATGCGGCCATGAAGCCTCATGTTGAGTAGCACGGCCTCGAGCATGGGCCCACCCACATTCTCAAAGTATATGTCGATTCCTTGTGGAAAACATCTAAACAAAAAGAATAAAAAGGTTAAAAAGTGATTTAGTTACTTTTTTTTTTTTTGTGGTGGTTTTTCGGGAGATTTTGTTTTGTCAACACCTTTTGAGAGCTGCATCAAGATCAGGTTCCTCTTTATAGTTGAAAGCATCATCAAATCCAAGCTTATCCTTGAGGAGATCCACCTTGATAATTTTATCATTACAAGAACTGCGTGATTAGTTAAACCGCACAATTATCAGTAATTCGATGCACCAAATGAATATGTCAAGGAAAAATCCAGTCTTTTCTGAACAAGCATGTTATTTAGTTGAAAGCATCATCAAATCCAAGCTTACCCTTGAGGATATCCACCTTGTTAAACTATCATTACAGAGAACCTCGCAATTATCACTAGTTCGACACACGTAATGAATATGTCAATTGAAAAATCCTTTCTTTGCTGAACAAGCATGTTGTTAATTAAAAGAAATGAATATATACTCACTTTCTGGCTGGTCCCTGCACTTCCAACCACATAGCACCCGTATAACTTAGCTAACTGGCCAACGAGCTGCCCCACGGCCCCAGATGCTGCCGACACAAAAACAAACTCGTTTTTCTTAGGAGCACAAACTTGGTAAAATCCAACATAAGCCGTGAATCCGGGCATGCCTGCATTGAAACAAACAAAATTAAACAATCTTTGATATATATCTGTGGTTAACATACAAGTAGTAGTTTCGGAAATAACAAAACCTATGTAATATGACAATGGGATATGATATTATGATGATGAACTTACTTACCCAGGAGACCTAAGTAATATGACAATGGCATGTCATTTGGCTCCACTTTTCTCAACTGTGGTGATTCATGAATTAAACTGTACTCTTCCCAACCTGTAAAACCAGAGACTATATCCCCTGCTTTGAAATTCGGGTTATCCGAGTCGAGCACTTTCGACACTCCAAATCCTTCAACGACCTTAATTCTCCAAAAAAAATGTTGTTAAACAATATTACATGACTCAATACTCAATAGAACTAGCATAATGTGAGTGCAATTGAGACAATCTAAATTAAATAATTTTCTTTATTCCTTAATGAAAAGAGTTAGATGCTATTTTCTCCGAGCTTGTATCATATTTTCCGACCCAACTGCTAAACCTTGCGAAAGGATGCAATAGCAATTCCGAACCCCAAAGCCTCAAATCAAACAATACGAATTCCTTCTTCCCCGGGACCTAATCCAAGCGCTCGAGCAAAGACAGGAGCAGAACAACATTCCTTAAAGCCGATCAACCCCAATCCTGAACCTCAGGTGAATAGACTAGGGTTTCTACTCTTATTAGTATTAATGGGAATTCCTAACCCGTGGAAGACTGGCTACTTTTTCTCCTGCTTCTACTGGAAATGGCAAACCGGATCGGATAAGCCCGAAGAACTGGAAGACAGGATCCCTCGCTTTCTGGTTTAGCTGTTCGAAGGACTGCAACTTCGGATCCCTACGCTCAACAACATTTACTCAACCAAACTCTAAAATCCGAACTACATTTTAAAAAGTCAACTCAATTTAAAAAGTCAGCAGCAGCAGCTTACAGAGCCAGGGGCAAAAGGGGGAATATAGGAGTCCTGAGAAGCGCGCATTCGGCCACGCATGTAGGGATCACATGAGAGATAAAGATTCTTGACCAAAAATGCCCCTGACCCTTTAGGAGCCTCCAGCTTAATCTTCTTCCCCAATCTCAACTCCATATCTGTTTCCTTTGGTGGTCCTTCTATGTAGCCCTTGAATATAATCTGTTTGTTGTCCACTATTTTTCCTTCTGTTTCAGCCATTTTTTTTTTTTTTTTTTTTTTTTTTTTTTGTAAATTGAGAATGATGAGAAAATCTTGATGGCTCTTTTGATATATACAGCTGCTCAATAGAAATTTAATGTTATCGTGTTCCAAACTTGTGGTGAGTTGGATACATAGTTCGATTATTAGGTAGGTAGCTAGTTGGGTCTTGCTATATATCTACCTACTTGACTATTAAATTCGGTTACGTGCTGCAATTTGTACTGTTTTGTTTTAAATACTGACCCGAACAATTGCAGCACTGTTTTGTTTTAAATACTGACCCGAACAAGTGAATGATCGATATGTAGTTAATTCCGTTTTACTTCATATTTTATCGGTTTTCATAAATGGTAAATAAATTTATTATTATAAAACATATAACATATAAAAACAATTTAATTATTACTAAAACTGATTGAAAATAAAATAAGAAGGTAAACACGTTAAAATTATGCATAAAACCTCAAATTAAATAAAAAAAACTTGATAAAAAATAATAAAATCTCCATGTCTTGTAAAAAATGGTATTTAAAAGGTTACAATACTCGTCGGATCATCTATTTGTAATACTGACCACAAGATGAAGTATGAACTTTGTGAAAAATGTAAAAAAGCACAATAATTTTCGACGCATATTGCTATTATTTCATACCTACGAAGAATGAGACGACCATACAGAACATAAGATGAAGAATGAACTTTGTGAAAATAATTAACGATAAAAAAAAAAAGAACTTTGTAAAATTAATGCAAAGAGCTCTTAAAAATGAATGTATAAAATTGTATAGGCCTTGTTTGGCGATCAGCGGATAGCGGATAGCAGATTGTATCAGCGGATAGCGGATAACAGATTGTATCAGCTGATAGCGGATAACAGATTGTATTAGCTGATTTGATTAGCGGATTGCATTAGCGGTTTTTAAATAAGTGTTTGGTAAATAGCTGAAAGCTTATAGCTGTTTGATATTACAAAATGACCAATAAGAATATTTTATTATTTAGGGTGTATTCTTTTAATAATAATATATTAAAACATTTAATATTTTTTAGTTGGTAATTTATAAATATATTATTTTTTTCTTTAAATTTCCTAAAACTTGATGAAAAAGTTATGAATTTTACATTTTTCTAGATAAATTAATCATATGGATGACATATTATTATTTATTAGCACCATAAACCAATATAGATTTTAAAATAAATAGTACAAATTGAAAAGTTCCAAGTAAAAAGTTTTTTTGTGAATCCTCTATTCCCAAAAAGCTTCTCTAATGAGCTTTTTCTAAATTAGAATTTTGAGCCCAAAAAACTTATCAAATAAGCTATTTACCAAACAGACTCAATAGCAGATTTGACGGGTCAAACCTCTCAATTAAGTCCAATCCGCTAATTTACCTTCAATCCGCTATCTACCAAACGGGGCAATAACATTCTTTGGGTATTTATAGATATTTAGGTAATCACCAAGAGTTTTT